TTCAGTGTTAAGTAGACACCAAGGAAGGTGGGAACGGGCAGCAATATTAGAGTTCCTGCTGAGACAAAATCTCACACTTAAGGGTCTCAGCTCTCAAAAACATAGGAAAGTGTTTACGCCACTTGGAAGAAATGTCAACCACTTGCCTAATTAATTTGTAAGCAATTATATAGGATAGCAATGTTCCTCACCACAGTGTCCACCTGCATTAAGAAATCTATGTTATGTTCCCATCATTTAGAACTATTATTATTTTATTAAATTTATTTACCACCCGTCTTGCAACAATTGATCGTGATTTAATCTTTATCAAAATTCATTTGGGCTTAATCTGGAGTTTGCAAGTTCTCTCCAGCATGAGGAATAAACTAAATTCAGTAGATTGGAAACTTGGTTTCCCTAGATCTGGACTGAAAACATCTAGCTGGCTTCTTGATGACAGCAAAGAGATACCTGAAGTTTTCTGATGTCATCCGGACTTTTGCAGCTCAGATCTGGTTACTTAATATAGTTGCAATTTCTTCAACTGCTGTATTTATTACTGTGACTCAATAGTATGTCCTGCTTAAGCTGCGATATCACATTAATATTTCTTAAACATATTCAGATCACAAGAAGCATTATAATTCTAACCTTAATCTTTGTGAAACAAATCTTAGTAATCAGTAAAAGTTAAGCTGAATAAAGTGCTATAAAATAACCACACAGACAGAGGCATACATGACGGCCTCAAATTGGACAGATACTCTAATACAAGAACACGATTAGTTCTTTCTTACAATATGTAGAGAAAATGTAAACACAAGCTTGTATGCTAATCTCCCTTCTTCAAATAATAGCTTTAAAATTAGCTAGAGTTGGTGTGGTGGTTAAGAAGCAGGCCTAGAAATCAGTTCAAGGAGGTTTTTTAATTCTAGTCCAGTTTTAGGCATAAAATTCAGCTGGGCAACTTGGTGTCAATCCTTTCTCTCAACCCAACCTATTTCACAGAGTTGTTGTGAGTGAAATGGGAGGAAGAAGGAATATTGGGTATGTTCATTTCCTTATTTATAAAAAATAATAAAGGCAGAATATAAATATTTTTTTCAGTGCAAAAAAAGAGAATAAAATCAAGAGGTGCTGCAAATATTTAATAACGACCATTTTACTGTAATTAAGACAATGAATAAGTCTTATTTTTCACTTCACTAAAGACAGCTGTCCTAAATATATAGATAAATGAAAAGGCAATGCAGGGGGGGAAATTGCAAAAGCAATATAATTTTTTAAGAGGGAGAATTGTAATTGCCTTTCTGATTTGCATAGTCTTTTTCTCCTGAAATTTTATTCAACACAGGTAAATCCTTAAGATTGGGCAAACATAAAATTAAATCTCTACAGGCTAGAAGTTAATTAATGGGTAGATTTAGTCTAGAATAATAAACTTCTTTCCCCCTCTTTAGTTAAAATATGATGCAAAAGCAGAACCTGCTATAGCTTGCTTTTGGCTTAGATAGCAGAAAAAAGGCTTATTTGAATCTGCTTTCAAAACTTCTCTTAACATAAATCCTGTATTAAGAGACATGCCAGCCAAACAACTATCAGCTTTTACATGTGTTCTTTTCCACTCACTTAAGCTGGAACAAGATATCTTTGTGACATGAAAGATGGCTTAAGCATTTTTGCTCATGCACCAATTCCAAGATAAACATATCACCTTTTCCTCTATAGTTTCTTATTCTACTATTGTTCCCTCTCAGTTCTCAGCTGTTGCAGGCTAAAGTACCATTTTAATCTCTGATTGCACTATCGCTAAGAGGTGTTGATAGATAGATCTTCTGTGAATATATTTAATCCATTTTTGATCCCAATTATTCTTTTAGCATTGTCAGCATCCCATAACAACAAGAATTTCTTTTTTCCTTTTTACTCTTTTTTGTCCTTAGTGATGGGCAATGATATTTAAGTTTGATTCTTACTTCTTTTGATTTCCCAAATGAGGCTTTTATTAAAAACAAAACAAAAGTATATTTTCCTACCCCCGCTTTTGTGTCCTATAGCTGAACTCCTGTGGAGAGAGAAACATTACAATACTAACACAGGGCAGAGATACAGCTTTGCTCATGCCTCAAAATAAATATGACTATGATCAGAAAGTCATAGCTAATTATCAGTTAGGATTAGATGTGTTCATAATGAGAGACCTAAGTATTAATCTATGTGCAACTGTGAAGATCACTGAATTACCTATGTATCATCACTCTTTTTCAGTCTAACCTATCTTATAATACAGTTATGAAATTAAAGAAAGGAACTATACAGCCTTGAATTCTTAAAAAAGAAGCTCATGCTAAAAATATATAAATAAGAATATTTAGAAATTATATAAAGTACATGATTATTAAATGCAGCAAGGAACTTTCTTGCAGAAATTCACTAACTGATAAAAATATAAAATTTATTTTTTTAATACAAAGTGATCTTCAATTCATGTTAATTTCCTTTGCTCTCAGCAACTCTTTGTGTTCCACCAGCATATTCTGGAAGACTAAGATATTAATATGACAGACAAACTTGTTTTGGGGCACAACGTTTGTACCTATTCTCTATTCTCAATTTGTTATGCCTTAAATAATATTTATTTTTTTAAGATCCACATTAATCCATAAATGGTTGGCTTTTTGTGATATATTACAGTTTTGCCAAGGAGAACATAAAATAAAATCAAGCGAAAAACTGGTGGCTAAAGAATATAGTTGTCAATGGTCCTCTTATTTACAATAGACCAAAGAATTTGTAATTTTGACATTGTAAGATTGAGTTTGAAGTAGAATTTTGTCAAATGTTGACTATGTAACTGCTAAAATATAAACATTTTTATTGAAATTTGAAACGGAACTAATAAAAGAATGATATAAACTGGGCTAAAATGGTTTTAATATACAAATGAAACAATGGGAAACCGTGATTGAAAGAATTGTAATTTATGTTATTTTTAAACAGACATTTTTTAATAAAATGATCTGCAATTATATAGCACATATTGTCTAGAATTATAAAGGCACTTCAAATTTAACTTGGAAAGCAAACAACAAGAAGGGACTTTTTAATCATGTTTGATGTACATGTAAAATAAGTAGAAAGGTCTAGATTAAAATGCATACATTAATTCAGAAGATTGAAACCCATGATTTTCCTTTTTGGACAAACACTTGAAAAATGTAATGGAACATTTTCGTACATGATAACTGCAGCAAGAGTATTGTATGCACAAAAATGGAAAGGTTCAGCACTACCCACAATGGACTAATAGTTGGTAAACTGCTGATTGGACCTCTTTTATAGACTTTTTGCAAGACAGAAAAACAGAAAATGATTTTGATGATTACACATGATCAATTTTAGAAAAAAGAGAGTTGTAATCATAGAGTAAGAGATAAATTTATAGTTGTTCATGTAATTGCTATAAAGAAGAGTGGAAGCTACTTTGTACTGATTGCTTTCACTTTTTTGCATTCTAGCTTTCTCTTTTTTCTTTTCTTTTTTTCCTCACTTATACTAATTTGTGTTGAGTTTTATCTTCCTTTTAAATTTTTTAAATAAAAATGATGTAAAATATATACTAGAAAAAGTAAAAATAAGCACTGACATATTGGACTACTATTACTGATGATATGCAGTAAAGACGCTTTTCAAAGAAACAATGAATTCCAAAAAACTTGTAATTTTCATTTTGTACTAAGGTATTTATGAAATAAAATACAATTTAAGAACACCTAGCATATTTTCTGTTATTTTCATCAAATGTTACAGGAACTTTAGACGATATTGCTCTTTATATGTAACTCTCTTAAATTTTCCAAGTATTTCTTTCTTTGTTTCAGGGAACATCCATTGAGGAAAAAAGAGCAGAATAAAAGTACAATGTCTTTAACTGATTATATCACGAAGCAACCATAGATTAGAGGAAAGCAATGTGTTTGGTTCTTGGCTCAAGTATGAGTAAAAATAATTTTATACTGAAATTCTCTAATTAATGAATTCTGAAATATTCTGGTATTCCTGTGTGCATTTCAGAGACTGGGAAGATGTAAATTATCAATGATTACAATCATTATGCAATGTATTTTTCATAACATTTTATAATGCTTTGCTGATAGAACTTGAATGTTTAAATTTTCTATAGACTAAAATATTCACACACGTGGTTATTATGTATTTTTTGAAAAAATACTGTTCATAACATTCTGAACTTCAGTAGAATTGATATTTGTAATGCTTAATGAAGAAAGATGTGCAATTGGTGCATCTAAGATTTAAATCTTGTAGACTTTGAATTGAAAGTAAATTCCATCAAATGCAGGACAAGCAAATAATTTTGATTTGACACTTATCTATATACATGTTGGAGAAATCAGTGATTCAATGAAATTGATTATACAAATGGGTTAAATCTTGCTTTAGGGATGCCCCAAAGTATTATCTCCCAAATGTAGTTGCTATCCCTGTTCTGAACAAAACACATATAGATAAGATTTGTATAGTAATTCTTGAATGAGTTGTAAAATCCATCTATGCTATGTGTATAAAAATTTTAACAGTTTGCATATAATTTATTACTCTGGTAAAAATGCATTATAGAATAAAACAGAACAGTCACAAAAAATATAGGTTTTTTTTTTTTTTGCAAAATAGGTCCTTTTTGCAGAAATAATGGGAAGGAATTGAATTTACCTCCAATATTTTAACATAAATGGCAAACATTCTTGAAATCTTTTGCTTAAATACCCAAACCTTTCATTTGAAATAAATAATTCAGATAGGTATTAATTTAAGAATATGCAGTTGGCTCAGGTGCACAAAGTAAATTTGTGCTGAATGCAAAATACTATATATTTAAAGCATTTGCATGTTTGCATAGGTTTTAGCTAAAATTTAAAAAAGCATCCTACTTGTCCTGCAGAAAGACAGAAAAAACAATGGGAGACTGACTTCTCCATACCTGATCTCCCAGATCTTACCTTGATCTGGGAGGCACTTCTGGGTTGGTGCTGGAGTAGAAGGCTCATGTGGAAACATAGTGGCAAACCATTCTCCTGTTGCTGTTTGTTTCTCATGTACTATGGCATTCATCTGTCCAGGTGTCATTGTTACTAGTTCAGACGTGGAGCTTTTGCTGACACTCAAGCTGTGTTTTCTGGATGTGCAAAAAATTGTAAAATAGATTTTCTCTCTTGGATCTTTCTCTGTGCTCAGTCTGCTGTTTGCTCCTATAAAAGCTGAGGCTGTCCTAGCTGGTTATAATCTCTCCACTGTGAGGAGAAGGGAACATGTGTCACAGGCTCAGACACAAGCCGGGCAAGCATCCAAAGATAGGCTGGGAAGGCTAGAGCAGGGTGGTAAGATAACAGCAACAATGCACAGCGCCAGAGCTGAGTCCAAGCCTTACACCTCTGCACAATTGGAGGTCAACATGACATACCTTTAAAGCCTTCAGCCCATAAAGGATGGGAACTCAGATTGAGGGATGAAATCTGAATGCCTCAATATGGAGAAACAGATCCATGCAATAATAAAAAGAAATACAAATTTTCAGTGATAGCAATATTAATTCTATTTCAGAGACTGGAATAGCACGTATTACCTTCTGAGTGGAAATTCCACTACAGTTCAGAATGCACAAATAATTTGGAAGTTCATATGATTTCTTCTCCTAAGCAGTTATTTTCAGGTAAAAAAAAATCGTATCTAAAGCAATGACTAACACCCTAGTAAAGTAAATCTGCAGATAAACCCACTGAATTATCACTAGGTATTTCTAAAAGAATTTGATATTGCTATTAAAAATACAGACTCTCTTTAGTAAAGCTAGACCTCTGACTGATTACATGTATTCATCCATCTAGTTTTCTTGGCCATGGCACAAAAGCGATCAGACTGCCTTTTTCCAGGTATTTTTTTTTCAATTTGGCAGGATAATCTACAGTTTAGGATTTCCTGCTCTCTCATCTATTAATCATGTTCAATTCTCCTTAACATTTTGAAGATAAATCGAAGATGGCTATGAGATGCTACTGCTATACATGATATTTCTGTTACTAAGTCATAATCTTGTTCCTGTATATTCCTGTATAATAATTACTGTTCAGAACTGATTCTCAGGATTCTTTCTTTTCTTTTAAAATTAGACTGGCTCATCATCTCTTCTTTAACAAGATTATGATCTGTGACAAGCAAATACAGCTAGTCTTGTTTAGTGACTGCCTTGCACAATGTGCAAGTTTTACAGTTGTGATAGTGATGAGAAAGTAGTTTTGTAACCAATCCTTGCATTTATAACTTTGCATGTTGGTAAAGCAAAGGAAAACTGAAGTAAGATTGTAAGCACAACTGATATTTCACTAAGTAACTATTTTGCTTAATGATGAAATCCCCAGTCCTGGTTGCTGTTGTTAGATAAGGGCTACCTGTAATATTTTATCATAATACCTGCCTCAGTTCCTGAGGTAGTACAGCAATTTGCTATTTAAAAATTATGGATCATAAGGAGAATTATTTGTGTAGAAACTTCTATTTATTTTGCCATTGCTATTCTTTCATCTTATGATGCTTTCGCTACTTTTTTTTATTTGTGTTGGACATTATTTAATGCTTTCATTTATTTACTTCCTTTTAAATTGAAACCTAAGGAAAATGTTTGCTTGAAATGGTTTAAATTTATCATTCTTGTTTGGGGAAGAATGTTGGATTAGGGTATTTGGGCCATGGCCAAACATCAATGATTGCTCCTTTTATTATCAAGAGAAATTTCTAAATGAAACCAAAATACTAGCTAAAAATCTTACAAATAAACATAAATATGTCTATTACTATTGGTTCTATTTTTGTTTTCTTTTTCCATGGTCTATGTACTTCTATTTACAGGTCTTTTTATTTTTTGATTTTCTTCTCTTGTCTCCTGAAACCGCCACATGTTACAGATATTTGTAGTAATCATCTTCATCCAGATTTTTTTACGTTATTTTCATAGGGCATTTTGAATATGTTTCATCACATAGCCACATGTTTGGACTGAATTAGGCATTTTTTTTACCTATCAAGTCCTTTCCAAAGATCTGGGATATATAGAGTTGCTATTTGATGCTGTTTTTATTATTATCTAATAAAAGTATAAATTAAGTTATTGAACTAGCATTGTTTAATTATATTAAAAATAATTTTAGATGATATTTCATGACAGAGTTATTAAGATGCCATGTACATATGAAACCATAAATCTATAGCTGGCTTGGCCCTTTCTTACGTAACATTCTTTAAATCAAAAACAGTTCATCTAATTTTAATTGTATAGTTCAAAAAGCAAAACATTATTAGGCTTTCAAAAAACTCTTAAAGTTCTATAAATCACATATCTATATACCTTAACAGAGGAGAAATACAAATACCACATTATTAAGAATTAATACTATTCCAAAATTGACAAGTGTGTTAAATAGATATATATATAAACATTGCAGAAACTATTTGTCTAGTTTCATGCACAGTTACTAAGGAACTCAGATAACAAAGAAAATACTAATGAGAGACAATGTGCAAGAAGTGAGCAATATATAAACTATAAGTTCAAGCAAACCTAAGCGGACCCTGCCATAGTTTGGGATGGGAATAACACTAGGAAGATGAAGCTCAAGCAACCCTAGTAAGCATGTTTGGTAGTGAGGTATGCAGGAAGCTGTACTTCAACAGCTGCTACAGTATAGGTCTGATGAGAAAGAATGTGATCAAGAAGTTATATGGTTCAAACAGTGACATAACTGTTGCCCTGTTAATTTATAATGATAATTGTGGGTGCTAGAACTACTCTAAAAGCATACTATCATGCCAGTGATGATATTCAGCCAGTTCACACTAATTCAGGCGAACCGGTAGCAAGGATTTTGACATGGGTCGCTGAGCCAAACTGGCCACACCCCGGACCCAGTCACCCAGTTGCTGCTCACTTGCTCGCCCCACCTGCCTGATGCTCGCCCCACCTGCCTGACTCTCGGCCCGCCCACCTGACACTCAGCCCACCCAGGCATTCCTCAGTTCCTATGCGGCACACTGGGTCCTCCAGACTTGCCTTTAATTTGCCTTCCCATTGGTGCCTGTGCCCCAACTGAGCAGCCCTGATCTGACTGCTTACAGGTAAGCCTGCGAGTCACACTAGCCCCCTTCCCTTGCCATTCCCAGACTTTGCCTGGCCTCCCTCACTATTCCCAGACCTTACCAGGCCTCCCTCCCTTCCTGGATCATCGTGGGCCTCCATCATTGTTCCTGGACCTTACTGGGCCTCCCTCACCATTCCCAGACCTTGCCTGGCCTCCCTCACCATTCCCAGACTTTGCTGGGCATCTCCCACCATCCCCAGGCTCAGATGGCTGACTAAGCCACCATATGGTGCTCTCCCAATCACATGGCGGCCACAGTGCAAGAAGCCTGCTTGAGCAGGAAGAAGAAAGCCCTGGCCTGCCCGTTCTGGCTGGCAACTCTTCTCCCCTTGCTCTTCCAGGTTCCAGCATACCGGACAGCTTGGACATGGGGCAGTTGACTACCCTGCCAGCAAACACTGCCCTGCCCGCTACTCCTGCCACCGCTAGAGGTGGAGGGTGGCAGTGGTTCACACGTACAACCTTGCCTCCTCAAAAGAGCAGCAGCGGCAGGCACAAGGTAAGAAACAGGAAAACTGCTGGTACCCTTTTGCCCTCAGTGATGGCAGGAGCAGCTGGTGGTGCAGCATTTGCTGGCGGGGCAGTCAACTGTCACATGTCTGAGCTGTCCGGTGTGTGGAACCTAGAAGATCAAGGGGAGCAGAGCTGCCAGCCAGAATGGGCAGGCCAGAGCTTTCCCTCCTCCCTGCCTGAGCACGCTTCTTGCACCTCTGTCACCACTCACAGTTCATGCTCCTGTCTCTTGGCCTGTTGTGGCTGCTGCTGCTGCTGCTCTTCTGGGGAGATAGGGCTGTGCAGGAGGTGACTCCATACTGGAGAAACTTCTGTCCAGTGCCAGGCTAAGAGGTGGTCCAAAAGGGAGGGTGGGTGGAATGTCCCGGGGCTACTTGCTTTCTTCATTCTCCCACTGCCCGCTACTCTGGAGCTCTCCGGATCAGTTTGTTCCAGACCTGGTGTGTGTGTGTCATGAGAGAGAGTGTAGTGTGTGTGTGTGTGAGAGAGAGAGAGACAGAGACAAAAAAGAAAGGAAGGAAGGAAGGAAGGAAGGAAGGAAGGAAGGAAGGAAGGAAGGAAGTGTGTGGTGTGTGTGTGTGAGAGAGAGAGAGAAGAAAAGAAAGAGCAAGAAAGAAAGGAAGGGAGAGAAAGAAAGAGAAAAAGAAAGATAAAGAAACAAAGAAAAAGAAATAGGAAGAAAGAAACAAAGAAAGAGCAAGAAAAAAAGAAAGAAAGGAAGGAAGGAAGGAAGGAAGGAAGGAAGGAAGGAAGGAAGAAGGGAGGGAGGGAGGGAGGGAGGAAGGAAGGAAGGAAGGAAGGAAGGAAGGAAGGAAGGAAGGAAGGAAGGAAAAAGAAATGGAAAGGAAGGAAGGGAGAGAGAGAGAGAAAACTCTGTGCTATTATTTTTAATTGTTCTATTATTTATTATATATTAATATTTTACACTGTCCCTGCACCTAGAATGATTTTACTGCCTTTCTTTTGCCCAGGTATTTTTTAGGGTTTACAATACATGAATTCAATGTCTATAGTCCAGAGCATAAATACATGTGTGTTTAACAAAATACATGTGTGTTTAACAGAGTTGAAAGGAACTTTGGAGGTCTTCTAATGAAACCCCGTGTTCAGCAGGAAAACTGAGGATGCCAAGCTCTGAGTAGAGGTCCTGGGAAAGATGTCAGAATAACAGAATAACACTTAGAAGGGACCTTAGGGGTAATCCTATACCATTTCAGAGAAACGGCTGTCCAGTCTTTTCTTTAAAACTTCCAGTGATTGAGAACCCAGAACTTCTGGAGACAAACAAGTCCACTGGTTAATTGTTCTCACTGTCAGGTTGCTTCTCTGTTTGTTCAGTTTCCATCCATTACTTCTTGTTTGCCTTCTTTGCTTTGGAAAATACATTTATTTATTTTTTATTTTATTTTATTTGTCAATTGTTTACAAGATAATAAGTATAAGTGTATACATAGTTATGAATACATGAAATGGGTACATATAAGAAAAATAAAAGAAAAATAAAAGAAACAATAGG